ATGAGGAACAGGATAAATGAATATAAGAAATGGTTGAGAGATGACGACGACTAAATAGTTTATATTAATATTTTCTCACTAAATCCCCCCTCTGAAAGTTAGAATGCCGACTTTTTTCCAAACGATAGCATTGAAACTTAGCATGCCCAAAAAATAATCCCTGGTTTTTGCACGGTTTTGAGCTTTTTGGTGTAAAGGCATTCTAACTTGCAGCTGGGATGCAGGGACGCATGGGTATCGATGATTTCGATAGGCCTTACTCCCTTCAAACCTTCGGGACATGTCATGGATAATCCTGAGACTCATATGTAAAAGTACATTTTTCTACTCAGGATATAGTGGCTGGGACAGATTAGGCAGCAGGACCTATGAGATCATGGGAAGATATAGGAAGACATGGCGGATTTCACAATCACGGAAACAGAAATGTGCCCACAACCACTGTTGATTGCCCACCCCTGTGCAAACATGCAGCGCGCTTTTTCTCCCCCTCCTGTATGGTCTTTGTCGTCTCATGCATTTGTTCAGAGCGCAGCGTCTGGAAAGGTATCAACAGCTATCGTGGTATACATACATTGGCACCTTGATGCGCACAGTGCGGGCACTCCCATAACCTATTTGGAAACTTGGAATGCCTGGCACAAACAAACACACACATATATGAAATTATGTATATACACTACACATAGTTCCTGCGTGTATATACATGAATATGTATGTGTGTGGTCTTTAAACGCACATAGGAATGCCCGCTTGCTCCTTTCCATGTATTTTGGATCGCTGCCTTGATGCCACACTGAATTCATGTCAGGCTCTCGCATTAGATGCTTTGGCCTGACTGGCATGCAGCACACACGCGCTTGAGCTGGTTTGCCCACATACTGTCCTGTGGGTGTTCGGAAACTTGCGCCTGCAAAACAGCCCTAATGGTCAAAAGAAGAGCGTCTGCTTCGCTTCCTCAGATGCATTCCAAGTTGGGATGTTTGCACGCTAAATGGCAGGCAAGCAAGCCATGTCTTTAAGCAGGACCGGAGACCCGATAAGACAGGTTGGGCACACGCACACATGTTTCACACATATATCTATATATATATGTACGTATGTATATATAGATAAAAATTTAGATAAAGGACATTGGGCACTGTGAGTGGCTACAAGTTCACACCTGGACAACACAACTTAGAATGCTTCCACATGACATGAATGATTGTCTGAAGGTCTAGTGCAAACTGGCTTCTCTCCACCACCATGTGCAGAAGAAGCAGCAGAGGTCCTGAGCTGCGGTAAGGACTCCAGCGTTCATAG